TATTATTTATTTTCTTTTGAATATACTTAAACCCGTGAAATTTTGTTTATCGTAAAAAAATAATGCACTGGTTATACATACTTAATACATTTAAGACGTTTTCATAATTTTGTATTTAACAATTGTTTTTATTATCAAGTATTCTATACACGTTTATTATTAAGTGCCATTTATATTAAATCAGGTATTAAATACACGAATATTTCAACATTAAAAATCGTTATTCATAATGTGCTATTCATAGTTCGACGTAAATCGTTTGTTATTTCTGATTATAATAATCCACTCTAGTTTTTCATTAAAAATATAGCATCATTGAAGATTATAGTATTATGAATTTTCGAATATAAGATAATCAGATAATTTTCGTTATTTTTTTTAAATTTTGTAAAAGATTATATTTTAAAAAACGTCCATATTTTTGATATTTTTTGATTGAGGTAAGAAGTACCTTCGAGAACAACATAATATTATACTGACTGTATATGCATGCAAGAGAAGGAAATACCCAAAGAACCGCTAAGGCGGGTTCCCACGGCGCGTGGCTCGGCGAACTTTGCGCAGCGCGGTTGTTGTACCGAGCCTACATGTATGCTCGGGTTATCACGAATCACGATTCACGAGCGACGAGCTTATCCGAGTCGAAAATAAAACACAAAAAACCGTGGCTCGCCAAACCGCACGCTCGTTGGAACGCTGATTAAATGCGCGGCTCGTTTCGTTTGAGCACAGAACATCGGACCGACAATTTTCGGATAGACATGACTGATGGCACTGCCGTGATATCGGTGTAATTTATATCCAACTATACCTACATTTTACCGATATCAATGTCTAACTGCTATAATGCTGCACCAACAGTCGCATTATTATTTTAATTTCTACTAATTGTCTGTCAATAAATTCAAAATAATTTAATTCAAGCATAGACTTAAATATTATAGGTAGGTAGTCATAGACCGCCTCCGTGAATACAAATCGAATCTATGATAAAAAATTGGCTAGTGGTAATACCTACATAATAGCCTTTAATACCTAGCTATTATGCATAATTTTATGAATATTTATATTACCGGAAATGTTGACGTTTAGGAAATAATAACAGTTCCTAGGAAATGATGACAATATTATTTATGACAATATTATTATTATATTTCTAATAACGGAAGGAAATGATATCATTGCCTAGTTCATGTTATCATTTCCTAACGATATCWGGCAAAGATGCCATATATATTTTTCTTAGATATTTTAATTTAATCTGTCATAATTATTAATTACCCTGATATTACACTAATAAATAATCAATGATCAATAATTAATAAAACATTAGATATTTTTTTTTTAATCACTTTATTAAATTCAATTCGCAT